CACCCTGGAACCAAGCCAGGTCCGGAAATCAAAGAAACGACTCATGGTCGGGTTCAAAGAGAGGGCTTTTCTAGCCACCAAATGGGCCACCCCTATTACTACTCCGACCTATAAACCGCACACTAATCCCTGGGCTGCTACGACAATATTGTAAGACTTCTTCCAGAATGGAGCCCATTCGGTTGTCTCTAGCATCCTTGCAATTGATTTTATCAATGACAATCTTAGCATCCCCTTCGAATCGCATCCCCGTAAACCCCTGCCCCAAACACCAAGTAATAGCCTCCTGTAGCACTAGCAACTCCACGACCACTGGGTCATCAATCCCCTGAAACTGAATCCCGTGAGCCATAAGAACATCCCGAGAGGGAGACAGAAGAACCATGCCAACCGCTGAATGCGAACCCTTCCTGGTAGCCCCGTCCCACTAGCAAGTAAACCCTGCAGCCTGCCCTGACCCACCTGACCGTGGAACCATTAGGGGAGAAGACACGCGAGGCACATCCACCGGCAGCCCCACTCACTCCTCATACTGCTGGGAAAACTGCCTCATCAACGCGGGGAACCCAAACTGCTTCCCTTCAAACACCACCCAATTTCTCGACCGCCAGATGCGCCAAAGGACAGCGATGACTGCCATAAAGAGCGTCGGCTGCTGAATTAAGGCCATCAAACGTTTAAGAAACAACGAAAAAGTATGGCGAGGCAACCCCTCCCCAAAGTACTCCAGCCCCGAGAGGCCCCAGAGCTCACGCGCCACCGGACAATCCAGAAACAGATGCTCCATGGTCTCCGGGCCACCCCAACAGACCGGACAACGAGGGAGGATAGGGACCTTTCGAGCAATTAGGGCCTCCGTGGTGGGGAGAATTCGATTTAGAATTTGCCAAACAAAGACTTTCAGTTTAGGTGGAATATTCGCATCCCACAACCGGATCCAACTGGATCTATCCATCCAACTAGCCGACGCCTTCCACCTAGCCCTCCTCCTATCAAGGGAGACAGCCAGATGATAGGCTGACTTGACCGAGAACACCCCATCAGGAGTAAAATGCCATATCAGTTTATCCTCTATGTTCTATCGGGGAAGGGGAATAGTTTTTATAATACGACAAATAGGCGGATCAAACCACTGGCTAAGCTTGAGCTCACACCATCGCCCTTCCCCTTGGCAAATTACCTTAGCCACAGTAGGATCTCCCCCCCACTAGTAACACCACCGGATTATACCTTGGGGGATCAAGCTGCAACTGAGGAATCCAGGGGGATCGGAGTAGGGACGCCGAACACCCATTCCCAATTTGCCATCTGAGACCCATCTCCAATAAATCCCGACCATACAAAATGCTTTGCCAGCCCCAAGATGGGCGCGACCTGACTTTAGCATTGAGGAAATGCCCAGAGGGGAAGTATTTACCCTTATAGACTTGAGCTAGAAGAGACTGAGGCTCAACTAGAATATGCCAGCCGATCTTGGCTAAAAGGGCTTGATTGAAATGCTCAAACCGCCAGAAGCCCATACCCCCCTCATGCTTACTCTTACACATATCTCTCCAAGCCATCCACCTGATCTTCGAGTGTCCCTCCTCATCACCCCACCAAAAGCGAGCAACATGTTTGTCCAATAAGCGACACAACGAGAGAGGCATCTTGAAACAAGACATCACATGCAAAGGTCAAGCCAAAGCAATGGACTTAATCAGTGTCTCCTTCGCTGCCCAAGATAAGGTCCTCCGTTTCCACCCCTGTAACCTCTCCAACACAGCTTGTCCTCCAAATACCGAAAGGTTGCCATCTTAGAACGAGCAATCAAAGTGGGGAGGCCCAGATACTTATCCTGCACCCCAACAGCTCCGACACCCAAAATTGCAGCTAAGAACTCCTGGTCTGGCTGCGCAATGTTCTTACTGAAACAAACCGCTGATTTAGCCAGATTGATGTGCTGTCCACTGAGTTCCTCATATTCATTTAGAACCGTAATTAAAGTCTCACACTCCTGCAGAGTGCCCCGCAGGAACAGATAAGAGTCATCGGCAAAGAATATGTGAGAAATACGAGGGGCACGCGGGGCCATCCTAACCCCTGCCAGTCTCTTCTCCCCAATCGCCTTACGCAAGAGAGCCGCAAACCCCTCAGTGCAGAGCATATAAAGAAGAGGGGATAAGGGGGTCCTCTTGCCGCAAGCCCCGCGATGGTCTAAAGAACCCAGACGGTGTACCATTCATCAGCACAGAGAAAGATGACGACCGGAGGCATTCATGTATCCACCCCTGCCAAACTGAGTTAAACCCCATCTTGTCCAAAATAGGAAGAAGAAACAGCCATTCGACTCTATCATAGGCCTTTTCCATGTCAACCTTAAGAACCATGTACCCCTTCTTGCCTTGCCTCTTGGTTTTCAAGTAATGCATTAATTCATGCCCAAGGAGGATGTTCTCAACAATTTGGTGATCCCGAATGAAAGCGTTTTGGCCGGAAGAGACAATATTAGGCAAGAGGCCCGACAATCGTTCAGCCATGATCTTAGTTATGATTTTATACACAAATTGGCATAAACTGATTGGTCGCAACTGCCTCATGGATTCAACATTATCCACCTTAGGGATCAACGTGAGCCAGGTGTGATTGAAGCTACGGAGCATCCTACCAGTCGTAAAAAAAGAGCAAACTGTGTCAACCACTGAATCGCCCACAATACCCCAAAAGGCCTTAAAAAATTTTCCTGTGAACCCATCAGACCCGGGAGCCTGCTTAGCACCCATCGCGAAGACAGTTTTACGCACCTCCTCCGGGAGGACAGCAGCTGTCAGGCCAGCATTCATTTCCGGAGTTACTACGGGCGATAGGCAAAGCAGCAACACGCTCCCCCATATTAAGAACTTGATTTTCCGAAGTGAACAGATGGCCATAGAAACTGGTAGCAATATCCGCTTTACCTTTCTCATCAGTAATCCAATCGCCATTCTCATCTCTTAGTCCCGAAAGAAGTTCTGTTTACGACGCGACCTAGTCACTGTATGGAAGTATGACGTGTTTTTATCTCCCTTTTTCAACCAGTGAACTTTATATTTTTGCTGCCAGTAAGCTTCTTCCGCATCCCATTGTCTTGTTAATTCAGCTTCCAGATACCGGACCGCATCCCAATCAATTGGATGAATGAGCTTGAGCCGTTCAATCTCTCCTTGGAGGGTTCTGATATTCCGCAGGGAATTAGTGGTTCCTGCTCTACTCCAATCATACAATAAATGACGCAACTTCTTAAGCCGTTCCCAAAGGCAAAACATCGGGGTGCCTTGGATATCTTCCTGCCAAACATAAGCAACCATGGCCTTTACTTCAGGGTTAGCCGCCCATCGAGCATCAAAACGGAATAGAGGGCGGCTATTCCGAATATAGGGCTTATCAGAGAGGAGGAGCGCCCAGTGATCCGATCCCTGATCTGTAAAATGCTTGACCAAGGTATCAGGAAAACGGTCAAGCCAAGATTGCGAACAAAGGGCTCTATCGAGTCTCTCTCTAACACAGGCCCCCCCATTCGTTTATTAGTCCAAGTGAATTGGTCCCCCTGGAACCCAGGGTCCAGAAGGCCCAAATTCTGGATAAAATTACGGAGGCTCAGAGCTTGCGCTGCATTCCAATGATTCCCTCCATCCTTCTCACTCTCATGAAGAGGCGTATTAAAATCTCCTAGAATAACATAGGGGGTTTGGATATCAGCACAAATCTCATGGAGCTGGTCTAACTGAGTAGCACGACGAGTGACATTGCAACTAATGTAAACAAAGATCGCCACATAAGAAAAATTCATTTCATTAACTTGAACACAAACACAGAAATCCGAATGAAAAAACACTGAAGCAGCAACTTCGGGAGCCCACGCGACAACTAAACCACCCGATGCATCAACCGCATCAACAAAAAACAACAAGAAGACTCAAACCCTAACCCACGCAAACGGCGGGACACTAATCTCTGTCTCGAACGTGTTTCCGAAAAAAACACAAGATCCGATTTATTCGAATGAACTAAACCAACAGCAGTTTGAAATGTGAGGGACGAGCCAATTCCTCTCACATTCCATGCCAGAAGCCTCATTTATCCGGTTGGGGCCACTCAAGGCTGGCTTCCTCCACCTGATCAGCTCCATCATCAACTTCCACAAACTGTTTCTTCGGAGACGGGGGGATACCCAGAGCGCCTCCTACATGCTGTAGTGACCGTTTCCGAGCCCCAATAGTTGGGTGCATCATATTCGAACCATACTCATCCAGACCCATCCTGAAATTACCCTCCTCACCCTCCTGGCGCACCCCTGGATCATAGTCATTTGGGGTCTTTTCAACACAAGGATTTTCCTTGCTCCCCTCTTGGGCCAAACAGAGGCCAGCCTCAAACGCCGCCACCACTGTATTAACCCGGCCCTGGGTCATCGGAGTCTGATGCGTGCCACACCCCGGAGGGATACGTTTCTTAATCTCAAAGCAAGGCATCTCCTCCTCCGAATCTGATTCTGCAAAAACTTGCTCCTCCTGTGGGTTTCCAGCAGTGCCATTTTCCATCCCATCTGTCGAGCCCTGGGGCAACCTGACTTCTGGATTGCGCCTGCCTCCCTTCATGCCCGCACTACCATTCCCATGAACTTTCATTTTATATGGTTTTGCGTCACCATGAGCTAGCCTCAATTTTCCCTTCAGCTGCTGCCTCTGAGCTGTCTTGACAGAGGACGGCATGGCTCCATTGTTCCCCTGAGTAACCACTTCTTCCTTCTCACGTGCGCATCCCACTCTTTCACTATGCGGCGTGCAAGCCTTCGACTGTTGGGTTAGCTTTTCCCCCATGGCCACGTCAATCACTGTAGCATGATTCGGATCAAGATCATCATCCGAGTCCTCTTCCAAGATCAGGCGCCGACGCCTGGATTCCTCTAGCATCGTCTGCACCTCAGGGTGTGCAGCTGGCGAGGCCTGGTCACTGGGCTGGTCCGGTATGACTCCCTGCCTCTAGGCCTGCCTCGGCCTGTCTCTGTTCCCATCCTCCAGGGGGCGAGTAGGACCCAGTTCCGGGCTTAACCGCCTCAGCTTATGCGGTCCACCCCCAATGCGGGTAATAGGAGATTTGCGGACCGGAAAGCCTTTCGGACTAACGAGCTTGGGCTTAGCCTTCATCATGGGCCTGGGGGAACTGGATCGGCCCATCTGCCTGGATTGGGTCTGCTCAGTGTCATGGCCAGGAGCCCAGTGTCGAGGAGTAGACTCTCCCGTCTGTGAGCCATGCCCGCGGCCTTTATTTTCCATTCCCGCTCCTTCCATTTGCTGTCGAACCTGCCTGTTAATCCAGACTGAATTTCTTGCCCCACAAAAACCTGGGTTAGCCTCCACTTCCTCATAAATTTTACGTCCCATCTTCCTTGTAGTCATGTGGGGACCGAACTTTTCTTTCCCTTTTGGAGGGTCAAATGACCATTCACGACGAGCATGGCCCAGACGGCCACAGTGATAGCAGAAGGTCGGAAGGAATTCATATTTCAGTCGCACCCAAAAGTAACTGGTTTCCTCACTGACTGCCATAAGTTGGGATCTCAAAGGCTTTAAAAATCCACCAGAGCACGAACTTTCACAAAGCTCCCTCCCGTGTCTTTGCAGGCAAAGACACCAGATTCTAAGACCTCGCCAATGGTGGGGGCTACAAGTTTTTGCCCGAATTGTTTGGTACAACAATCCTCCTTCACGTCCCAGAGCTGGATGCGGAATGGAGCAACAGCAAGATCGTCAAAAATCTGCTTACTAATCATAGGTGTCCAGGAGCGAAGGTTGATCAGTTTATCTTTGATCACCCACGGGATCCGTTTTAAGACCCATATTTTTTATTCTTCACTTGGCAAAACAATCTCGATCAATCCATGCTTGGTTCGCGAAACCCGAAGGTGACCTCTCATTTGCCACGCGTCACTCATCTCGTCCCTAAGCTCTGTGTTTGTGAGCTGGGTCCCCGTAAACATTCGTCCCAAGAGAGTACGTGAAGCACGAAATTTAGTTGATTGGACTTCCTCTAGGTTGAATTTCACAACCTGATCATCAGCAGCGCGATCCATCAAATTATCTTGTATAAGAGACGAAGAACAATTAGTGACATGGCTCGAAGCCAAGGTGATGGTCGGCGGAGTATAATTGGGACGCATCCCAGGTGAGGGGCAAATTCCATCCGCGGAAAACCAACTGGAGAAGGGGACGAGAGGGTCGATACAGGGCAGGGAGATGACTTTGGATTGATGGTCGTCATACCTGGACTTTCCTGGCCGGCAGACAGGGGTTGGATCGGCCGCACTTCTCGGCGGCCTTTACCTCTCAGCAGAACAGGGTTCCAACTAAACCAAGTCTGGGGGAAGGCGGTGAATGAGAAGGAGGGAGGCCGAGCACCCTTTATAGCCCACCCTATCTGCCTAGCGCCGTCCAGTTTTAGAGTTCGGGAGGGATTGGGAATCCCGACTGCAGTTAGGATCTGGATATCCTCTGCTATTTTTGTTTAATTTTTAATTTGTGCGGAGCTCGGTTTCTTCGGGGAGAGAAATCCGAGATTCTGCCCAATGCCAAATCGTATCCCAACCGGCGTGATTGTCACTGAGCGGGCTTCACGGGATAGAGCCGAGCCTGTAGCCGACGAATTCGACCCGGCGACTGCATCGGAGCACTTGCCTGAGCTCGGATTGCTCAGCTCCGAAGGTGACGGCCCATCGTCACGAGTGGGAAGAAGAAGTACACGATTACCAGATGGTTTCACAAGCCCATCCTCCCCGAAGGGTTTTGTACTATCAATCCCACAAAAACGATTTGAAGATACCATATCCGGACGTTTGCGCCGCTCATCCAATGTTGGAATCGAGTGTGGAGACAGAGCCTCCCCATCCAGCACAGGTGAAGGGGGGAGCCAAAATCTCCACCCCTTCAAAATCGATTTTCTACCTTTTTTAACATAAACAACATCAGAGAACTCCATAGCTTCTCCTAGAGTCTCCAATCGCTTGCGTTTCCTGTTCGAGATGGCCCTTCGGCGGATCATACAAGGCCGCCGGGCACTTTTTAGACATTCAATCGGTGGCTCCTGCGACTTCTCGCTTTGTAGATCTACCACCGGTGGTCGCTGAATGCTTCCGTTCGGTAGCAGGTAGGGGCTACATGCCTTTTAGTTTTTTATATAGGATTTTATTGTGTATGTACATATATTGAGAAAACATTAGAAGGTGGCCGGATGATGACCAGTAGCCCCCGGAGCAGTGGCGGATACATGGGCCTACCCCTAAATTTTGGAAAAATGATTATCCAACTCCCGGTATTAGTTTCGTGTGGAAATATAATTATAATTAGTAATTTTGGTCACCTTTAAAGTTTGAAAAAATGATTATCCTACTCTCGATAGTAGTTTGCGTATGATTAAAAAGTTAAGTGGTAGTCTGTGTTATTCAAATCTAGGACACTACTATTATTAAACATATTCTCTTGGTTGCAACTCATTTGTTGTTCTATTTTAAACACTATGTAATAGTAAAAACACTATTACTTATCCCCAACTTTTTTTTTATAAACCATCCCCAACTATTTTCAAAACCTAACAATTAAACTAATTAGCGGTTATCCTTAATTTGAATTGATTTTATGGTTACACGACAAGAGTTGAAAGTACCTCAGCTTTGAGTTACACCAAGAACAAGGTTAGAAGTCAAATATGTGAGCGGTGTAGACATCGAGTCTATTTTGTATTTTGTTTCCAGGATATGAAAACACATCGTTTTTAAAAAAAATTTGTACTAGTCGAATATTTTCTTATTTACGAATTATTTAATTTATTTTTTATTATTATTTTATTTTTGGAAGAGTACACCCTGTAAAAAGTTTATGAATTCGCCACGAGAAATTTTACAATGCTATATAGTATTGGTGCTATAAGTTTTTGCCTTTATGGTACAACTTAAAATTGTACATTTACGTTATGGTACAACTTTAGATTGTACCTATACTTTTTGTAAAAATTCTTTTATGGTACAACTTGAACTTGTACCTTTATGTGATGGTACAACTTCAAGTTGTAAAGTTGTACCATAACATAATGGTATAAATTGCTTCATGGTACAACCTAAACTTATACATTTAATGTTATGGTACAACTTTGAGTTGTACATTAAAGCACCAATGCTATATAGCATAGTAGAAGTGCTCATTCGCCACTGCTCTGGGATTCATATATTGTTATGAATCTTTTCCAACTGCTTGAGTTATATATTGTTAAGATAACTCCGACATGTCAGCAATATGATCACCAGGAATATTCATATTCCTTGCAGTCCTCTTCTAGCAGCTTCAGCTTCAGCTTCCTACATACATGAATCCACCAAACCAAAGAGAGAGCTGACACGTAAGCCCAGCCCAGAGAATGCCGGTTCTGATCGATAAAAACAGAAAATGGCAAGCACGAATTGTTTCTGGAATTGTTATCTTCTTTTTTCGGTAATTAATTTTTATCTTCTTTTACTCAGAAAATAAATTAAAAGCATAGATCTGACTCATTGCCACATGATTATAAATTAAAAAAAAAAAAAAAGTCCATCCCGAAAAAAGCAGAGAGACATGCACTACTTTTAGTCTTTTACACATGCCAAGGTTCTCTTCTCACTTCCAATTCCAATAGAGAGAATATGATTTATTCGTTTTACTCCAATTTATTTATTATATATATTACATAAATAAATCTAATATATAATATATATATATAGTTCCCTCCCTCCTACCCTCCAGTCTTCTAAGAACAGCAAACGACATTTCCATCTACCTTAGTTTCTTCCCCAAAATGGAAGGTTTCCTCTTCAAAGACCTCCAACCCTCTTCCTCTCATCATCATCTTCTTCAGGGACAATCCAGCAGCCAAGCACATTTTCGCGGGGATTCCATCCATCATGGCGGCTACAAAGCTAAACCATCCCCTGAAAGCTCCGACGAAATTTCAAATTCAGCTTCTTCCGAGGAAGCTGTAATTATTCCCCGCACCAATCCTTCACCTCTGATGAAAACTCCAGTAAACTTCCTGGAATCCTTCCCCAACCTCCGCAGAGCCTCCGAACCAATATTATCCCCTTCTCTTTCTCCTACAGGAACCAGCTTATCCAACTTCCCCAACCTCACTCTGTTTTCACATCCCCTGTTTTCGGCGGCCTCCCAGAGGACCAATCAGCCCCCACCGTCCACTCACCGGTTCCCCAGCAGCCGGATGCTGCTGGGTGCTGTCAAGACACAGCAGATGAAGAACGCAGGTGGAGGAGGAGGAAGCAAGCTGTTCCGAGGGGTGAGGCAGAGGCATTGGGGGAAATGGGTTGCGGAGATCAGGCTGCCGAGGAACAGGACTAGGGTGTGGTTGGGCACGTTCGAGACGGCGGAGGAGGCCGCGACGGCGTACGACACGGCGGCGTACATCCTGAGAGGGGACTACGCGCATTTGAATTTCCCGGAGATGAAGCACCAGCTGAAGGCGAATCCCCTCAGCGGGAACACCGCCGCGCTCCTCGAATCCAAGCTGAAGGCAATCTCACAGCAACCGCAGCCGCAGGGAATTAAGAATAACAATACTGATAATCAAAATCCGAAGCCTCCGGCTGGGGCCGCCGCGGTTTTGCCACCTGATCAGGATGAGGAAAAGAGGAAGAGGAAGAGGAAAGAGGGGAGGTTGGAGCAGGGAGGCAGAGTTGCGGCGGTTGCCGGAGAGGCAGAGGAAGGTGTGAATTGTGGTGGTAATTGCGTGGATGGGGTTGGGGTTCAGTTGAGTAGAATGCCTTCCTTGGACATGGACATAATCTGGGATGCCATTTCTGTTCCATGACTCTGCTTCTTCTTCTATTCTATCTTCATGCCCCATTTTTCTCAGGCGTGCAGTGCAGTCGGTTCATATGGATCCTTTCCTTTCTGTGTCTAGTTTTCATTCGTTTATTGTGTTTTGAGGTACAAAGATATTCGGTCTGCATTACCATTGACATTGATTGATGGAGCTGCTAACTGCAACTTTGAGCTCTGGATGAACATATTGATTGGAGAGGACAAGTGGCTATTTTTACCATTTCAGGTTTCCTGTTTTTCGGCTCCAACAAGGCGTCATCAGGATTTGGATTTTGCCATAGGAGATAAATTTTCTGCTTTGCTTTACGATCTGTTTAAAACGGTTTCAGTTCATGTGCTTAAGCCCAAAAACTTAAGCATATGCTTAAATCAATTATATCCATCCATCCATCTATAGAATATATTAAGGCCTTTCTCTTTTAACCTTCACGGATTCAAATTATCTTGCTCTTCATGCATCCACGTCAGCAAGGCCATCGGCCAATCACAATCGAACACAACGCAGAAGCCATAAAAACCCCCACCCCGTCCCACTAAACTGTCGCTTCCCCTTCCTCCCAACCCCCTCGGCATCCCTACCTGCAAATCTCCACCGCAAGTCGACCGACAGCCATCTGAAAATCAGCACTGCGACTTTGATTCTTGGGGATGGAAACTGGGGAAGCAGAATATATCGACTCCAATACCAATCCCTGGATAATAGAATTAATGGAGTCCAATGAAATAGTTGCGGTCTTGCTTTGTTATATCGATGGATTGGCAACTTCAAATGGTTCTGTCTCTCTCCATGAATCTGTTCGTCTTCTATCTTTGATCGTCGATGATGTCGTTCTTTTTCTCTCCGACAATAGTCCAACTTCTTCCCTTCAGAGCAAGTTCACTTCTCCAATCTTATAAAGCGTGAGATCTCTCTGAGAGGAAAGGTTATAATTTAAGAAAAAACTTCAATTCCATCAAATTCACAAGGCGACGATTCCTTCTATTGGCAAGGGAGCCATCTGCATGCATATGTGATTTTTTTATTTTGTCCATAGTATTATTCATCACTTCCCCTGCATCTATGTTCAAGTTATTCCATTTTCTTACGATTCGAGAATAGAATTAGATTTGGCTTGGATACAAGCTTATGTACAAATTGTTTAGTTATTACTCTGTTATTTTGAGAATCTTTCTTTTCTGCCATTTTGAAATTGAGTTGTTGGGTTTATTCAAATATTTTAGAAACTCTATCGTACCGGCTGGTTGGATAAAAATATCAGATATCGAACCCCAAATGGTAAGCAATTATAATGGTACGAAACGGGAAGATAGCGGTTTTTTTAACTAAGGTTTGTTGTTTTTCATCGTCTCCACCTTTCATTCATCAGTCAACATCGTCTTCTTACTGCCGCTGCAAAGAACGGTCGTCGCCCAACGCCGGCGTTTATGTACATTATCCTTCCTTTTTTGGGTTTGAAGTTATTTTTGTTTGAAAGTTTAGCACGCCGTTTTAGCAAAGTAGTAGTATTTAGCAATGATTTCACATTGATTCACCAATGATTGTATTATAAACGTGGGAGATGTTGGATTAACAATGATTGTACTTATCGTTATTAATGTTTTTGGTCGTAATTATCAAACTAGTGATAGTTTCAACGTCATTATCCTTTTTTATGGTCAAATTAGCAAGTCGTAGGCGTATATTATTAACAATTAGGGCGACAATTCTTAATTTGTATGATCAAATTAGTAACACTTATGGCGGTATTATTAATAAAACTATGTTAATTGTCAACGCTTTTGCATGCTAATATCAATTAAAAACTTCCTGAAAGCGTTAATAATGATGGGGTATATCAATAAAAATTAATTTCATAAACGCTAAAAACGACAATATGAATCGATGATAATTGATTGCAAAATGTTAATAATGTCATTCAAAGTCATTGTAAAAGACGATGATTGGCTAGTTCGAACATGATTGAAAAAGTGAATCGTTAATAAATATGTTGCAAATCAATGATAATGTTATTCAAACCATTAATAATGATGCGACATAACTTAAGTAATATCTTCATAAACTTGATTTGGTTGCCTCCTCCCTTCACCACTACATTACAGCTAAAGCAAATGACTGGGCTAGGACTTGGGAATCGGCCAGGAAAGCGATGACTATGGTGGATGGAGGTCACAGAACAGAGACCTTGATTGGGTGGAAAAAACCACCAGCAGGATGGCATAAAATGAACACTGATGGTGCAACGCGAGGCAATCCTGGCTTGGCCACGGCAGGAGGGGGTTCTTCGCGATCATAATGGGGACTGGCTCGGTGGTTTTTGCAGCAAGCTCGGTACAGGTACTCCGCTGCTGGCAGAGCTTTGGGGAGTTCTTCAAGGACTGGAGATGGCTTGGAAAAAAGGCTCTCGGTTTCTCATCATAGAGACAGACTCTCGCCTTGCAATCCAGCTAATCGAACAAAGAAGAGATAACGTTCATCCGTATGCAACGATTCCGGGCGCTATTCGTAGACTCTTGGCGAAGGAATGGGTGGTTTGTCTTGTTCACACATACCGTGAAGGGAATAGAGTCGCGGACTGGCTCTCGAAGCACAGTCTCGTCTATTCCTTCGGTATGTATGAGCTTGAAGCTCCCCCAGTGGATTTGGACAAGATTTGCCAAGAGGATGTGTTAGGAATCAGCTTTCCTAGGCTTGTGAGGCACACTTCAGAGGAATGACTCTCTGTCTTATCGCTTATTTCTTTATGCTTTTTGAGTTGTAGCTGCTTTGACAGCAGTCTCGGAGTTTGTTAGCTCCTGGCGCTTGCCGCCTCCTTCTAATAAAAAAATATTCATAAACTTGATGACAAAATATAAATCGTTAACAAGTTATGTTAAATCGTTAATAACGCAATCGTAAAACATTGATAAGTATAAGGAATTTGTTAATAGTGATAGGGTATGTCAATAATAAGTATATTGATTGCATTTTCAACGCAACACAACACAACTTAGTTATTAACGATTTAGAGTGTCGTACTCAACGTTTTGATATTTTTTTAATATCGGTGATTTTAAATTAAACAAACCCATTTGTTTATATTGCATTGCTATTGTAATAATAACATATATTTGTTCGAATTTTGTCTTTGTAGGTTAACGACATGCCGGAAACTAAGAATATGTTACATAAGGTGTTCTGCAACCTGCCAAAGAAGAAGCAACCAGAAGCATACGATTTATCAATAATATTAATGATTATGTACTTATTTGAAACAAACGTATTTATTAATGGTTTTGGATCAATTTTAGTGTTGTTTAACCATTATCAATTAATAATAATATCAACCTGGATGCAAGATATTATCAATGATATGCAAAATTATTATTATTAATCTGAATGTAATTATCAACAACAACTATAATCATTATTAACGTTTTCAAATTTTTTATTGCAATTTTATGGAGGAATTATCAATGTTATGCATCATCATTATCAAATTGGATGGAAGAAATTTTCTATTTTGTGCAAATGTGTTATTAGAGAGAATCAGAGAATCATTATTAGCGTTTTGACATTTGCATGTCCGCTTTATTAAAATATTCAGAAAGCATAATATTGGTTTTTTATTGTTATCAACGATTATGAAGAAATTATTAATGTTATGCAGGAATTGTTAATAAAAATGTTGTAAATCAATGATAATGTTATTTGATTCATTAATAATTATGTGGTATAATTTTAATAATTCATAAATGTTGATGATGAAAATATAAATCGATAAAAATTTATCCAAAATTGTTAATAATATAATCTTAATGAATTAATGATTATATTGAAATAGTTAATAAGGATGGAATATATCAATAATAATTCATGTCATAAACATTCATAAAATCATTGAAAACTTTAATAACGCTAATGGAAGCCTCTACAGAGAGGGCGTGAGCTTTTCTTATTTGGAATTTCCATTTTTAAAACTTAAATATTAATTTCGAATTTCAGTTTTAAATTTGGAATTTCATTAAATATAATTACATAGTTCCGGATTTTTTATTAATCCTGAGTTTTAGGAGAGAGAACAATTATTTTAATTATTAATTATTTTCTTATAATACCCCATTTACCCTTAACAACCTATTAACTACTAACCTTCCATAAACTAACTAAATTCCTATCAGCAAATAGGAAAGATTTACGTATATGCTTAAACTTTTAGGCTTAAGCACCGGATCTGACCCGCTTCCTTTTTTTCACCATGAAGTTGTCATTTTCTAATCGAACACTAATTTTAAAGAAAATATCAACAAGACTTTTTCTGTAACTATGTTGACACCTTAATATGCAACTCAAGGAATAGCTCTAAAGACAACGTCACATGCAGCCGAAGAAGCCCATTGCTAACACTCGCGGAATATAGGCCCAACAAAAGTATCACAGCACACACCATTTTGAAGTTCAAAGATCACAGACTTCATAGTAGTCTTCAACAATAACCTTGAGGATCTAACAATTCACTGGAAAACTGATTGCATGCATCACAAGTCGTAACTAGCTCCGAAGTTAAGGATCCAAAATGTTGTGGTGTTAGAAATTCACAAACTACTTAACAGGACCTTCCAATCCTTTTACAACCAAGCCTAACAAGCATAGACATCCTAGTAGATAACAACATCAAAATTGGTTTTCAGTGCACCACCCAACATGATGTAACCAAAGTACGCAGCTCCAACAATCTTTTTATGATTTTCTGATGTCGCCTTTCTTGAACTCGAAAAATAAAGATAGATGCGGAACCAATTGGACAATCCCAACCGTGATGAAGGGCAATTGGTATATGAAACCAATCGGACAGCACCAATTCGTGGAAATGGGCAATTGATATAGGGTAGAAGCTCGCCACAACTAGACGCGTTCTCTAGTTGATAAGAGACACGTGAAACCTTTGGAGCACTCTCGACAGAAGCTTGCACAAAGAACCAGTTCGTTTGAACTTGAAACTTGAAAGTTGATTGATAATAGAATGAATTACAATGAGGGCCTCATCCTCATCCTCCTTAGGCAACGAAAATCCAATCCTAAACTAAGAAAGAAAGCAAACAAATGGCCAAATCCTATAATTAAAGGAAAACAAAACCTTAAAGGAAAAGTAAAAGGAAAACACAATCCTTAAAAGACAAGGAAAAGATCAAGTCAACAACTCCTTCAAATCTAGCCTTCATATCCGCCTTCCTTGAAGCCCAAGTTGCCTCCATGCTGGTCCACGAATTGTAGAAGTATAATGGGCTTCCCATAATGTTGGTCCATGTCCAATTGAGCATAATGT